GATGCCTAGTATAAAGTACAGTTATATGACTTCACTGTATTATTTTTTTCTCTCTCAATCAAGCAAGAAGATGATAGAAATATGAAGATAGATAATATCTCCGGGAAAAAAACACCGTTAATAGCTAAAAATACAACTAGAATTCCTGGAAATGCCAATTCGCTCATGAATGCGCACGGCGCGCAGTTCTATGCATATGAACTACAGTTTAAATCAGTAAATGCAATACGAAGCAGCGCATTCACACGCCGCCGCACAGCAGGCCTTCTGCTAAAACTGCCGATGAGCGACCCCAAATGAAATATATATACTATATATATACTATATAATATATATATATATATTATATATATATATACTAATATATATATATATAGTATGTACGGACATACACATACACAAAAATAAAATGCAATATTTCCATCTAATCTGACAGCTACATATTCATCTAATATATCTATCCGGTAGATATAAGATGTCTAGACCGATAGATACCATCCTAATTCGCTTGCATGTCTGTATAACGAATACTCACAGGACTACGACAGTTCGACACCGGCCGGCAAGCGAGCAGTGCGTCAGCGCCGCAGTCGACGGCAGTGGCACGAAGCGACGATTTTTTTTTTTTTTTATTAAATACGATTTCCTTTTCTTGTACACACACGCTGTCCGTGGCCAGCGACCTTTTCCGTTATATGAATCGATGCACTTATTCTAAATGTAAGTGATATGAATTGGTTAAAAATCAATGAAGTGCCATGATATGTGTGTGATGTTAATCTGTAGAGTATATAATAGGATAGACTAGTCATGAATAGATACTGATGCAAGATACTTAATATAATATTATAATAATATATATAATACTATCAGAGCGTTAGTACTATTAATAAATAATATTATTATTATATATATATAGATATACTATATGTTATATGTTAAGAAGTATACAATGATATTTATATACACTATATAAATATAGTAATTATATGTTAATATATATACTTGTGTGATGTTGTTGACTGTGTGTGGGCTGTATTGCTGAGTCGTATGTGTGTGTGATGTCCACTACCTGTGAAATGGAGTGCAGTGTGCTCTGTTTACAAAGATCGGCCTATGTAGTGTGTGTGTGGCTGTGAGTGTGATTATAACTATATGTACTGGCAATTATACTGCGTTGTTGTGAGTGTACTTATTAGCGTATAATTGCATATATGCATATATACTAAGATAGTTATACCCCATACTATACTAGTAATATATAATATATATCATTATAATATATATATATGATGTGTGGTTGATGTGTGTGTGTGTGTTGTGTGATGTGTTATTAGACATAATGTATGCA